CCCTAGTCTTTTTCTTTTGGAATTCTTTAGGGGACTGTATTCGCCAGTTTTTGTTTTTTAAATCTAGGAATCTTTTGCGAAATTGTATATCCCAATCTTTTTGTCTTGGAATCGTTTGCAGTGCCATATGCCCCAATCTTTTCATCTTGGAACTCTTCGTGGGGAACATCACCCCAGTCTTTTAATCCAGGAGTCTTTGGGACTCCGTATGTGCCAATTGTTTGTCTTAGAATTTTGTGGTATTGTACACCCCAGTCTTTTCATCTTGGAATCTTTTTGGAGACTGTATGCCCCAGTCTTTTTGTCTTAGAATCATCTGCAGTGTTGTACACCCCAGCCTTTTCATTTTGGAATCATTTGTAGTGCTGTATTTTCTAGTTTTTTTTTTTTTTTTCCTTGGAATTATTTGGGGGACGGGACTCCCCAGTCTTCATCTTGAAATTTTTCAGGGAACCATATATCCCAGTCATTTTATCTTGGAATCGTTTGCAGTGCTTTATTCCATAGTTTTTGTCTTGGAATCACTTGCAGTGTCATGCGCCCTAGTTCCTTCATCTTGGAATTCTTTGGGGGACCGTGTAACCCAGTGTTTTCATCTTGGCATCACTTGCAGGGCTGTAGTCCCTAGTCTTTTCATCTTGGAATTGTTTTCACTGCTGTATGCTCCAGTCTTTTCATCTTGGAATCTTTTGAGAGATCGCACTCCCCAGTCTTTCCATCCTGGGATCCTTTGCATTGCTGTGCTCCCTAATCTTTTTGTGCCGTAATCGTTTGCGGTGTCATACACCCCAGTCTTTTCATCTTGGAATTCGTATTTCGGTGACAAGTCCCAGTCATCTGTCTTGGAATTGTTTTTGGAGATGGATGCCCCAATCTTTTCATTTTGGGGTCTTTGGGGGAACCGTACACCTCAGTGTTATTGTCTTAGATTCTTTGCAGTACCATGCACCACAGTCTTTTCATTTTAGAATCCTTTGGGATACCATACTTCTGGTTCATCTTGGAATTATTTGGGAAACCATATGCCCCAGTTTTTTTTCAATGCGTCACAGTTTTAAACATTATTCACCTATCGAGAGACATCTTGGTTACTTCCAGCTGCCCCAATCTTTTTTCTTGGAATTCTTTGGGGGTACTGTATGCCCTACTCTTTTTGTTTTGGACTCATTTGCAGTGCCATACACCCCAGTGTTCTCGTCTTACAATTCTTTGGAGGGTACAATATATCCCAGTCTTTTCATCTTGGGAATCTTTGAGTGAAAGCAGATCCCAGTTTTTTTGTCTTGGAATTTTTTTTTTTTTTTTTAGACGGAGTTTCGCTCTTGTTACCCAGGCTGGAGTGCAATGGAGCGATCTCGGCTCACCGCAACCTCTGCCTCCTGGGTTCAGGCAGTTCTCCTGCCTCAGCCTCCTGAGTTGCTGGGATTACAGGCATGCACCACCATGCCCAGCTAATTTTTTGTATTTTTAGTAGAGACGGGGTTTCACCATGTTGACCAGGATGGTCTCGATCTCTTGACCTTGTGATCCACCCGCCTCGGCCCCCCAAAGTGCTGGGATTACAGGCGTGAGCCGCCGCGCCCGGCCCTTGTCTTGGAATTCTTTATGGGACACTTCCCCCCCTCCCTCCCCCCCCCCCCCCCCCCCCCCCGTCTTTTCCTCTGGGAACCATTTGTGGCACTCTATTGCACGCGATACCGCCGGCAGCACTCTCCATGGCTGGGAGCCACCCGTGCTACCACATGCAGCAATTTCCACGGAGCTGCCTGGGGACTCAGCTGTTCCAGCTTCCCATCTTTAGGCTACAAAATCAAGGCATTGCCCAACAAAAACAACACAAGCGCTGGGCGCGGTGGCGCGTGCCTGTAGTCCCAGTTACTCCGGAGGCTGAGGCTGGAGGATCACTTGAGCCCAGGAGTTCTGGGCTATGGTGTGCTATGCCGATCGGTTGTCTGCACTAAGTTCAGCATCGATATGGTGACCTCCGGGGAGCGGGGGACCACCAGGTTGCCTAAGGAGAGGGGAACTGGCTCAGGTCGGAAACGGAGCAGGTCAAAACTCCCGTGCTGATCAGTAGTGGGACTGCGCCTGTGAATAGCCGCTGCACTCCAGCCTGAGCAGCATAGCGAGATCCTGTCTCTTAGGAACAAAAAAATATTATTTTAAAAAACAACACAAGCAGTAGCCACCAAGCAGCAAGCTGGCAACGCTGGTGGTGCCCTCTCGGGCAGTGGCAGCTGTGTACTGGCGCCAGCTACTAAGCCCAGAGCACTCTACGGGCTCATCATCTTTATCTGGTGTTCACATATCCTGCTTGCTGTTCTAGTTGTCCTAAAAATATGCCCCGGACTTGTTTTGAGAAGGTATAGTAAGACCACAGACACGCAAATAATCGCCAATGAACAAGTCATTTTTTTATTAAACTCGCGGTCCCCAAGACACGGGAGGGGGGTCACTCCACACTGGGCCACACAGGGAATTGGCAACGCAGAATGAGCAGGGGGTAGAGAGAGGGAAAGCACTGGAAGAGCCTTTATTGTGGATTTCTTGGGAAGGAATGGGCAAAGCAAGATAAGCATATGGGGCAAATTTGGGATTGGATAGTTTGCATTGTTTTAGCAGTCTGCGCTATAGGGTGCATCCCCAATTGTGCAAAGACTGGTTTTGGAGATTCTGAGTGTCTCTTAGTAAGTTCTGAATTTTAGGGCCTGGCACTCTCTCAGCAAACTGCTGCTTCTCTGAGGTGGTGAGCTGTAGCTTGGAGCCCACTGTGAAGGCCCTAGAAACTAGTCTACCCCTTGTTCTCCCTCCTTCTCTTTTCTTGAAAACAGAAATGTTTAAACTTGTAGCTTGTGTAAAAGCACATCCAAAAGTAAAAAAAAAAAAAAAAAAAAAAAAGAAATTTAAAAAAAAACTTGTAGCAATAAACACATAACATTAAACTTAACCATACTTACCATTTGAAGCGTGCAGTTCAGTAATGTTAAGTATATTGACATTATTACGCAACAAATCCTCAGAACTTTTTCTTCTTGCCAATCTAAAACTCTATAACCAGTAAACACTGACTCTCCTTTCCTCTTTCTTGGCCTTCGGTAACCTCTTTCTACTGTCTCTGTGATTTTTCACTACCTGGTTTAGTCTTTCTTTCTCTTTCTTAAACCAACCTACCTTCCTTTCTTCCTTCTTCCTTCCTTCTTCCTTCTTTTCTTCTTTCTCTCCCTCCCTCCCCTCCTCCCTCCCCCCTTCTTTCCTCCTTCCTCTCTCCCTCCCTCTCTTCCTCCCTTCCTCTCTCTCTCCCTGTTTCTTTTGTTTTTTTCAGACAGGGTCTCATGCTGTTACCCAGGCTGGAGTGCCGGTGCAGCGCTGCGATCACAGCTCACTCCCAGGCTCAAGCGATCCTCCTATATCAGCTTCCCAAGTAGCTGAGACTACAGGCACTCACCAGCACACCCTGCTAATTTTTAAATCTCTTGTAGAGATAGAATTTCCCCATGTTGCCCTGGCTGGTCTCAAACTCCTGGCCTCAAGGGACCCTCTCTCATGGCTGGAATTACCGGTGTGAGCCACTGTACCTGGCCGTTTGTTTGTTTGTTTGAGAAGGAGTCTCGCTCTGTTGCCCAGGCTGGAGTGCAATGGCGAGATCTTGGCTCACTGCAACCTCTGCCTTTCAGGTTCAAGTGATTTTCCTGCCTCAGCCTCCTGAGTAGATGGGACTACAGGCTCGTGCCACCACGCCCGGCTAGTTTTTGTATTTTTAGTAGAGGCGGGGTTTCACCATGTTGGCCAGGATAGTCTGGATCTCCTGACCTCGTGATCCAACCGCCTTCGCCACCCAAAGTGCTGGGATTACAGGCATAAGCCACGGCACCCAGCCCCCTGTTAATTTTTAAATCTTTTGTAGAGACAGAGTTTCACTGTGTTGCCCTGGCTAGTCTCAAACTCCTGGCCTCAAGGCTCGGATTATTGGCATGAGCCACTGTGCCTGGCTGTTTTTTGTGTTTTGCTTAGTTTTGCTTTTTTTTGAGAATGAGTCTTGCTCTGTCGCCCAGGCTGGAGTGCAATGGTGTGATCTCAGCTCACTGCCACCTCCGCCACCTGGGTTCCAGTGATTCTCCTGCCTCAGCCGCCTGAGTAGCTGGGACTACAGGCTCGTGCCACCACGCCCAGATAATTTTTGTATTTTTAGTAGAGATGGGGCTTCGCCATGTTGCCCAGGGTGATCTGGATCTCCTGACCTCGTGATCCTCCCACCTCAGCCTCCCCAAGTGCTGGGATTACAGGCATGAGCCATCATGCCTGGCCTGCTTTTATATATATGTGTGTATATATATGATTTTTATTTAAGAGACTGGGTCTCACTCTGTCGCCCAGGCTGGAATGAATGGTGGGATCACAGCTCATTGCAGGCTCCACCTCCTTGGGCTGAATCAATTCTACCATTTCAGCCTTTCAAATAGCTGGGATTACAGGTGTGCACCACAACACTTGGCAGTTTTGACTCCTTTCGATCCTTCATAGGAGTCTTTTTGTGACTGGCTCATTTTTTTAAAGAACCCTGCATGTTGTTTTCCATAATGACTATATTATTTTACATTCCTACCAACAGTGCCCAAGGGTTCCAACTTCTCTATTATCTGGCCAGCACTAGTTATTTTAGTTTCTTTTTTCTTGTAGTAGGGAGGTATTGGGCTGTGTTGAGGATTAGTACACACACATTTTCGTTTGAATACAATTCTTAACATACTAGAATGAAAATCTCAAAAGCCATGTTCTTACGATCTTATCTAAAATGATTCCAGTGACTTTCCAGCTTAAAAGCTGGAGGCAATTTTTCCTGAAGAGCTGTTAATTTACAATGTAATATATAAATTACATGCTCAAATTTTCAATTGTCTGCAGCATATTAACAGTTATTGGGAAAACTGGACTACCATAACCAAAGATGTTACGGAGTGCACAGAATCCTTTTTTTTTTTTTTTTTTTTTACTCAAGACAGAATCTCAATCTGTCACCCAGGCTGGAATGCCGTGGCGCAATCTCAGCTCACTGCAACTTCTGTCTCCCAGGTTCAAGTGATTCTCCTGCCTTAGCCTCCCGAGGAGCTGGGATTACAGGTGCACACCACCATGCCTGGTTAGTTTTTGTATTTTCAGTACAGACGGGGTTTCACTGTGGTGGTCAGGCTGGTCTTGAACTCCCGACCTCAAGTGATCCTCCTGCCTCAGCCTCCCAAAGTGCTGGGATTACAAGCGTGAGCGACCGCACCTGGCTGAGTGCACACAATTCTGACAGTGAGAGTAAAGATTAAGGAGTGGTTTTCTTTTCCTCTCTCTCTCTCTCTCTCTCTCTCTCTCTTTTTTTTTTCTTGAGACAAGGTCTTACTTTGTCGGCCAGACTGGAAAACATTGGTGCGATCATAGCTCACTGCAGCTTTGAACTCCTGGGCTCAAGTGATCCTCCTGCCTCAGCCGCCTGAGAGGCTGGGACTACAAGCGTGTGCCGCCACACACACCTGACCCCTTTTGAAAGTAAAATCTTTAGAATGGCTTTTATTTATAGGCAACTACAATTCACCCCCAACCTCGTCGTTCGAAGTTCACCTGACAAGCTCCTGGTGGGAGCCGGTAGCTCTGACAGAGAGCAACAGAAACAAGATAAGGTCCAAGCTAGCGACCACAGGCCTGGGCGGTATTTCACCTTTGGTGCCATTGGTTTCCTGTAGTGAGATTATTTCTCCCATTGGGATTAGGACACGTAGGCCAGGGAAGACTCACTCACTCACTCAGGGGTTGGAGGGGAGAAGTCCTCCTTCCCTTGCTCTGCTTGTTAGTTTCCTAGTTCCCTTTAGCGTTTAGCCTCACCCAGGCGGAGATAGTAATCTTGCAATTGTTTCACGCCCATTATCTCCCGTTGGCTGGAGGCAGGAAGGACCCTCTGGTCTTTAATCTGTCTTGTCTTTAACTTTAGTCAATTGGGAGCCTCTATGTGGTCTATTCTTGTTAGACCAGAGATGCCTGGTCGCATAACTCTCTTTGGGAGGACTTAGATTGATAATGGCAATGGTGACACTTTAGGGTGGACATCAGAGCAACAGGCGGAGGGCTTTATGCAGCCCCACAGCAGCACCACACCCCTCCAGCAAGCTGTTCTGCTTGCTGTGTATCAGTGACAGATCCGAGAGAGGAGAACAGCACGTGGTGGAGGGCCAGCGGGGAAGCGGGAAGCCATCTGGGACGTGCACGCTCAGGCAGCGGGTGGGGAGCACGCGCGAGTGTGCAGAGGAACTGTGGTGCTAGCCACGGGGGAGAGCCGCAGCAAGCCACAAGCAGCTCAGAGGCATTTTGTTGTGTCCCTTGTGGATGTGACCACGCACTCTGCTTGCTGTGCCAGTTTTATTTTCCTCTAATTTGGTTGTCCCTCTAATTTGCTCCAGAGACACAGAGTAGCTATAAAGTCTAGCCTGTTCTGAAGGGGCTGCCCTGAAGGGGATGTTTATATTATGTTTTTCACAGAATACTTCTTCATTCTGAAGTAACAAAAGCAGTGTGTCAGTGACAGATCTCAGAGAGAAGAGAACAGCACGTGGTGCAGGGCCAGCAGGAAGTGGGGAGCCGCCTGGGACATGCCTGCTGAGGCAGCAGGTGGGGAGCACGTGAGAGCGTGCAGGGGAGCTGTGGGCCAAGCCCTTAGAGGGGTTCAGGGCATTACCCAAGGAGGTTTCCCATGGAGAGCTTTTTTTGAGGGTTTTGTTCTTGTTGCTCAGGCTGGAGTGCAGAGATTGGATCTCAGCTCACTGCAACCTCTGCCTCCCTAGTTCAAGTGATTCTCCTGCCTCAGCCTCTGGATTACAGGCACCATGCCTGGCTAATTTTTTGTATTTTTAGTAGATATGGGGTTTCACCATGTTGGCCAGGCTGGTCAAACTCCTTGACCTCAGGTGATCCACCCACCTTGGCCTCCCAAAATGCTGGGATTACAGGGGTGAGACACCGTGCCCATTCCGTGGGGAGTTCTAACTGGTGAGTTTAGAGCAAGCAGGACCAGTTCCATGGGGGCATGCATGCTGTGATGGGGAGGGGGGCACTGTGGCGTATCTGTGAAGTCCATGCAGGGTGTGGGGGCCAGTGGGTGAGTCTAGTAGGTTGAGCTAGCTGTGCCCTAGTGAAGTGGTCACCAGGAGGCGGTGTATAAAGTAGGTTGCTGGCTTATCTACCTGGAGGAACTGAGAGGAGGTGGAGGGTTGAGAACCGCAAATGGCGTCTAGGGTGACGAAGCTGGTACGAGAAAGCCCAACTTATATTGGAAGTGGATGTTAGAAAACATAAAATTACAAGAATTCCCGACAGCTTTGTATTACAGGATATAAAACTACCCTCTCCACCTATGGTTTGTTAAGCTGACACCCACAACAGTCAAATCCTTCCGTAATTCATAGCCGACAGTTTTCTGGTTGTATAAAAAATAAACAGCAAATGATTTTGCTTCTTTCAAAAAAAAGCACCTAGGCCGGGAGCAGTGGCTCAAGCCTGTAATCTCAGCTTTTTAGGAGGCTGAGGTGGGAGGATTGCTTGAGCCCAACAGTTCAAGACCAGCCTGGGCAACATGGCAAAAACCCATTTCTGCAAACAAACAAACAAACAAACAAACAAACAAACAAACCGGGCACAGTGGTGCATGCCTGTAGTCCCAGCTCTTCAGGACCCTGAGGCAGAAGGATTCTTTGAGCCCAAGAGGTCAAAGCTGCAATGAGCCATGTCCTTGCCACGGCACTCTGGCCTTGGTAACAGAGTGAAACTGTTTCCAAAGGAAAAAAAAAAAAAAGCATTTACATTTTGAAAATCAGATTTTCTCCTTCTTTTTTTTTTTTTTTTTTTTTTTTTTTTGAGACGGAGTTTCGCTCTTGTTACCCAGGCTGGAGTGCAATGGCGCGATCTCGGCTCACCGCAACCTCCGCCTCCTGGGTTCAGGCAATTCTCCTGCCTCAGCCTCCTGAGTAGCTGGGATTACAGGCACGCACCACCATGCCCAGCTATTTTTTTGTATTTTTAGTAGAGACGGGGTTTCACCATGTTGACCAGGATGGTCTCGATCTCTTGACCTTGTGATCCACCCGCCTCGGCCTCCCAAAGTGCTGGGATTACAGGCTTGAGCCACCGCGCCCGGCCAGATTTTCTCCTTCTTAAAAATATTTCCAGGCTGGATGCAGTGGCTCATGCACGCTGGGAGGCTGAGGTGGGAGGACTGCTTGAGGCGAGGAGTTAGAGACCAGCCCAGGCAACATAGTGAGACCCCATATCTTTAAAAATAAAAAATAATTAGCCAGGCATGGTAGCATGTGCCTGCACTCCCAGCTACTTGGGAGGTTGAGGTGGAAAGATTGCTTGAGCCCAGGAGTTAAGGCTGCAGTGAGCTATGACTGTGCCATTGCACTCTAGTCTGGTGACAGCAAAATTCTGTCTCAAACAAACAAACAAACAAAAAACAAAATTGGGCCAGACGCAGTGGTTTGCGCCTGTAATCCCAGCATTTTGGAATGTCAAACCGGGTGGATCAGTTGAGGTCAGGAGTTTGAGACATGGAGAAACCCCGCCTCTACTAAAAATACAAAATTAGCCAGGTGTGGTGGCATGTGGCTGTAATCTCAGCTACTCAGGAGGCTGAGGCAGGAGAATTGCTTGAACCCAGGCAGCGGAGATTACAGTGAACTGAGACTATGCCATTGTACTCCAGCCTGGGCAATAGGAGTGAAACTCCATCTCAAAAAAAAAAAAAAAAAAATTGCAGAGTTACGTTTGTGTTTATAAAATATAGTATTTGATAAAAATAGTTCTAGGAATTGCACCAGAAGGGGGACAGGGACCACTGATGAGACAAGGGTGAAGGATATTAACCGGTCTGGACTCTTTCTCTCCTGCTTTAGTAAAGGCTAGACTCTCCTCATTTTCAGTTTCTCTATTTTCTGCAGGAAAATCTTTACTTTCTGGGTTAGCTACTTTGGCTTGTTTGTCTTAGACTCCCATTTCCTTTTTCTTTGCATTTTTGTTGTGGTTGTTTGAAGATTTATCCTTTCCTGCTGCCTGTTTTGGATTTGTTTTCATTTTTTTAGGGGTGGGTTTAGCTGATAACCTCATCAGTCTTCACTTCAGCTCTTCCTTCACTGCCCCTTCAGCTGTGTGGCCCTTCCTCTTGGGCATCTTGGCAGCAGGGAGGGCGCCTGAGGGTACTGGTGCCTGCAGGCTTTGAGCATGGAGAGTGTTCTTGAAGCGGGGCTGCCTGGCCACTTGGAAGAAGGTAGGGAGAAATCCACGTGGAAGAAGGTAGGGAGTAATTGGGAAGTCCAAGACAATATGTGAAAATAGAGAGCCCGGCCAGGCGTGGTGGCTCTTGCCTGTAATCCCAGCACTTTGGGAGGCTGAGGTGGGTGGATCACTTGAGGTCAGGAGTTCGAGACTAGCCTGGCCAACATGGCGAAATCCCGTCTCTACTGAAAGTACAAAAATTAGCCGGGTGTGGTGGCGCATGCCTGAAATCTCAGCTACTCAGGCAGAGGTTGCAGTGAGCTGAGATCGCACCACTGTACTCCAGCCCGGGCGACAAGAGCCAAGAGCAGGACTCCTCAAAAAAAAAAAAAAAAAAAAAAAAAAAAAGGAAAAGAAAGTAACCCTTGAGAGCCTATTTGGAGGTTCTAACAGGGAAGTGCAGCGACTCAAATACCCTCCATTGAAGAGCCATCATCCTCCTCTGTTTGAAGGAACTCTGCAGCTTCAGGAGGGAGGGGACACCTGCCTAGTCAGAGAGATGGAAAACAAAGAGCTCTTAAGGTTCTCAAGCATCTTTGAATAGGGGGTCCTAGGTGACCAAGTGGGAAGATGACTGTCTCCTTATGGCATAAAGCGGGGAGGCAATTATAGAGAGATCCTGCAGTTTCTGACCCCCCAAAATCTCTCAATTTTCTTTTTGTTTCTGGCAGAGTAAACTGTTGAATAGTAGAAGCCTAGTCTGTGGAGATAGTTGTTCCTGGGGCTGAGATATCATGACCCACATATTGAATGCAGAACTTTGTCATTAACCACCTGGTAGCCCTTTATTGCCAATGCCTTAAGTGTTCAGAAGAGCGCTGTCGTAACTGGCAGGACACGGAAAATCACCCACACACGGAAATACACTGAGGTTTTCTGGGTATTTTAAGTCCTTTACACAGAGCCCTCAGTAACTCCTTGGGGCATAACTGTCCAGACATATCGTTGATTTTCCTAGGTGAAGAAAAACAAATACTGGGTATCTTTTTGAAAAAGGATGCTGAAAAAAATCTGAACGCAAATTGATGACAGGTGAAATATTAGATGTTGGAAGGGGTCACAGCCAGCACAGTATTAGGGTTGAGCATCAGGGGAAATCTGGATTTGACACTTTTATTGATACTTCTCAAGTCTTGGACTGGCTGAAAATCCTCTTCCGTCTGGCTTTATAGTGGCCATAATGGGAGTGTTGCATAGACTAGAAGTGGGGATTAGCAGTTTTTTATCTAATAAATCTTGGGTTACTGGATGGAGCCCTTCAAGGCCCCATGGTTTTAAATGATATTGGGCAGTTTAGGGAGGAGCATGGAAAGATCCGTTTCCACCTTGAGGAGCTCTGCAGGCCATGAATGTCCAATACGGGTAGAGTATGTTGCCCACAAAGGAGGGATTTGTCCAGCAGTTGATGTAAATCCTTAGTCGAACAGTGCTAGGTTGAAGGGAAGAGGAACTCAGAGAAGTCGGACAAAGCCCTTAGGTGGCATAAACCTGGGAGTGGGGTATGGCAGGAGTTGCAGAGGGGTCCCTTGAGGGTGCACTGAAGTTTGATATTCCAATTCCTGAAAAGCTCCCTTCTTAACAGATTTACAGGGATGAGAGAATTGAGAAAAAAGTTGTGCAGAGCTTTAGGAGGCCCCCAAAGAAACATTAAGAGGTTGAGAAAGGCAAATCGTGAGACAAATGATCAAAACCTGCCTCTGAAAAAGTCTGGGCATGCTGAGAAAGGAGCACGGGAAGCAGGGTGGTAGCTGGTGTTAAGGGCAGATGATTGTCTCGCCCAGGTGTCGGTATCAAGAAGCAACATGGGCTGCTCGAGGTGGCTCTCGCCTGTAATCCCAGCACATTGGAAGCCTAAGGCAGGTGGATCACCTGAGGCCATGAGTTTGAGACCAGCCTGGCCAACATGATGAAACCCCGTCTCTGCTAAAAATACAAAAATTAGCTGGGTATAGTGCTGCGCACCTGTAGTCTCAGCTACTCGGGAGGCTGAGGCAGGAGAATCGCTTGAATCCAGGAGGCGGAGTTTGCAGGAGAATCGCTTGAATCCAGGAGGCGGAGTTTGCAATGAGCCACGATCGTGCCACTGCACTCCAGCCTTGGTGACAGACAAAGACTTGGTCTCATAAATAAGTACATAAATAATAAATAAATAAATAAAAGAAACGTGGTGAGGTGCCTCTCAACTTTGAGTCTGGTGGCAGTTGGGAGTGCTGGACATTTACTTCCTTGGAGGGGAGTCAGTGATTTTCTGCGAGAAGAGTCCTGAAAGTTTTCCCTCCTTTTGAGAGCTGTGCAATTCTAGACGTGGTGTTCTTTTTCTTTACAGTATTGGCAAGATTCCAGATCACTGGGAGCCCATGATTTTAGAGCTTGCCCCATGAGTTAAAATCTTGTTTTTTTTTTCTTCTAGTTACTGTGATTACATTGAGTGCATTATTACAAACCGGAGTTATGTATTTCCCAGTTGTTTGCAAATGCTGCCTTTATACTGTTGGACTAATGCCTGAAGCTCATACATGTCTACATTTTTCTAGTTGATATTATTTTTTGTGTGTGGTGTGTGAATGCCAGTCTGAGACCATTTACAAAGCTTGTAGGCAGAGCAGAGGTTTTTTGGGGAAGTCAGTTCCCACCCTGAATGCACCTTCTATGTTGTCTCCAGTCGATGATGACAGTGTGCCACAGTTTCATCCGTTTGCTGTATGCAGTTTTAATTATATGGCTGATTGGTTTCAGTCAGATACTCTAAACGGTACACAGCAAAAGGGATAGAACTGAGAGATGCCTCCCAGTTGTTTATCTCTTATTTCCTTCAGTCTTCAGAAGGGGTCAGGGATAGGCTGAGAAAAAAGGTCCCTGGAAATGATCGTCCATTTGCCTTTTTTAAACCAAGAGGAGTCATATCCAGGGTCAACCAAGAGCTGGTTACATTGATATAGGTCAGGGAGAATATGACCCCAGGATAATTCTAAGTTGTTCAGTAAATTTTCTTTTTTCCTTTCCTTTTGGGGTGATGGCATGTAATTCAGACCAAGACCAAGGTTTTGGCTTCATCTGTAGGAGATCGCGGACTAACGAATCTTAAGGTTACAGGGAGTTGAGGGGCGTTGAGGTTCGGTTGGCAGAGGACATTCTGGGAGAGAAGGATGCAGGAGAGAGCTGGGAGTGGGATATGGAATTGCTGTGGGGTTTTCCGGGTTAAAACATGTTTCTGAAGGCATGATGTACAAGACTCAATGGTTTGAGTGAAGTATAAATTATTTCTCTATTTTTTGACTTCCTTAAATAAGCAGACCATCATGCATTTGAGAATTTTGTTCCTTTTTGCTCTGGGTGTCCCCTTAGGTGGATTAATTTGGGGATATCCAAGGAGCCCCAGAGGGCCATTGTTATTCAAGGTCTTCAGAAAAGTTTTGACACGGAGAAAGAACACGGACAGTATTGGGACCATGTGGTGAAGTAGGATTGGAGGAACAGGGGTTTCAGTCGACTGAGAGGTTCCCGTGAGAGAAACAGGCTCAAATAGAGATAACAGAAAGACGTCGCGAGGAGCCAGGAAAGAAAATTTTCCGGGGGCCAGGGAATGAATTCCATTCAAAACAAGGAGCCAGGAAGAACTTCCAGCCTAGGAGGTGCCTTTCAAAAGAAACCTGGGACTCTAACCTAGTTTCTGAGAGTATATTCAGAATTGCAGGAATCAGGCTGGGGGCGGCGGCTCACGCCTATAATCCCAGAGCTGTGGGATGCTGAGGCAGGTGGATCACCTGAGGTCGGGAGTGTGAGACCAGCCCGATCAACATGAAGAACCTGGTCTCTACTAAACAACTACAAAGTTAGCCAGGCGTGGTGGCGCGTGCCTGTAATCCCTGCTACTCGGGAGGCCGAGGCAGGAGAATCGCTTGAACCCGGGAGGCAGAGGTTGCAGTGAGCCAAGATCGCGCCATCGCACTCCAGCCTGGACAAGAGCAAAACTCCGCCTCCGGAAAAAACAAAAAACAAAAAACAAAAAACAAAAACAAAAACAAACAAACAAAAAAATTGTAGGAATCAAAATGTGTCCTCAGTGTGCCTCAACAAATGCTTGTTCAGGCACTGGATGTGGAGTCCGATTCCCCACTGGATGGATACCCAAACTGCAGGAGGTGGTTCCCATCCGGACCCAGTCGCCGCACCAGACCGCGGTCGGAAACACCGCAGGACCTGAGTTAAAGTGGCGAAAAAATAGGTTTTATTTGGTAACTACTAAAACCAGGGAAGGAGCTGAGCTCTATTCCGATTTAGGCAGAGGTGATTTGGGCCTTTTAAAGAAACATTGAGGAGGAGGGGAGTAAAGGAGCTGAGAAATGTCGGAGAAGTGAGAAAGTGCAAAGGGGAGCTTCCGGATGGCGAAACACAAGAAGGATCCTGGAGGGTGGCCCCCCCAGAGAGCAAGTGGAATCTTCGCGCTCCCTCCGCGCCCTTGCCCTGCGCATCTCTTCCATCTGGCTGCCCATCTGTATACATAGAAATTTCCTTTATAGTAAACAGGTAAACGGAAATTTGCAACAGCTGTGAAAATCTTCAGTTTTCTGAATCCATTTTTTTATGTTTAGTGGCGATTGCTTAAATGTCTTAGTTTTAAGTACCACAGCGAAAAGGAAAGCATGAGATTCCTAGATTAATGAATTGGAAGTACATTTAGGCAGTTTTTGGTTTGCTTTTTCGGACACGATCTTGCTCTGTAGTCCAGGCTGGAGTGCAGTGTCGTGAACACAGCTCCCTACCTACTCAGTCTCCTGAGCTCAAGCAATACTCCCACCTCAGCCTCTCGAGTGGCTAGGACCACAGGCGCCCGCGCGCTACACTGTCCAACCAGTTTTATTTATTTATTTATTTTAATTTTGTAGAGACAGGTCTCACTATGTTGACCAGGCTGGTTTTGAACTCCCGGCCTCAAGCACCCCTCCTCTGCCTCAGCCTCCAAAAGTGCTGAGATTACAGGTGTGAGCCACTGCACCCGGTGATTTTGCAGTTTTTGGAAACCATGAGTTTGATTTTGGAAGACTCCATGAAACAAATGCGCTTCATGTGATTTCTCAGTAATGTTGATAATAGATTTACTTCTGAACCTCTTGAAAGTGTATATGTTAGAAGCAGTTCTCCACCCAATTGATATTGAATTAAATGGCTGCAAAATTACTGTAAGAAGAACTGAGAGCAATATTGGAAATGTGGTAACTAAAGCCGTGTTGTAAGCTACTCATGCCGATGTAGCATTACTTCATACAAGTATTTTCAGATCTAACGCAATACATCCAGTGAGGAATTTCACTTCGCATGATTTTTTTGCTCTCCTTCTCGTAGTGGACCCCAGTTTTCCTTGTCAGAGTAACACAAGCACAGCTGCTTGAAGGTCTTGAAAATGAGGTTAGTAAATATTCAGCTTTGGATGGGAGTTTTTCTGAAGTTGTTGGAATAGAATTTGGACTCAATTCAGATGCAGAACTGGGACATTGAATAAAGATACTGTGAAAGTTCAACGAAAAAATTTGCCTTCTTGTTATTAAAGAATATATCGCACATGAGAAGAATAGTTACATTATGTTTGATAGTTGTTCTTGAATGTTTGACACGGAAACTGTACAGGTACCTTCCACAATCGCCCTGAATCACTTTGAATCGATAAAAATTTTGTAGGAAAGGAAGCAGTGTCTTTCAGGCCATTGAATGAATTTGATTACTACTACAAACAAATCATCATTATTAACAGCCTTTGAGGAACAATCAGATAAGCCATCAGCAGTAATTGCAGCACCTGGCATAGAAAGGCGAATTTGCTGTATTTCTCAGTAAATGAAAGAACATTTGTACCAACTTAGAGCTGGAGGGAAACAAGGTTTAAGAACTTTTCCCATTATTGGTGATAATGCATCTGAAAATTTGGATTCTGATTAAAACACTATATGGGTACTATATAATCAATGCCCAAATGAACGGACAAAACATACACTTTTGGCATTGTTAAGCACAATAATATAATTTTGGCCCTTTGGTATTGTTCTAGAATTAATTTTAATTCTAAGGATATTGCTCTAAATGTGCTTCTTATCGCTTATGACTCTTCAGTGTGTTATGCAGGAAACAATATAGATATACTTGTGAACTGTTGTTTGTGATTTAAGCATATATATTGAATAATGTTTCTAGATTAAATGACTTTTAAGCTCCAAAAAAAAAAAAAAAAAAAAGAAAAGAAAAGAGTACAAAGCATTGGTCAATATAAACGTGATTAGGCCAGCTGTGACTGCTAGCAGGCAGTTATCTGAATTAGGGATCTATCCTCCCACAGAGAGTTGGAGACAGAGGCCTTACCCTTCTTGATGATTCTATTTTGAAGAAATGGCTCTCAGGTCTTTGAGAAAGATACCCCTGCATTACAAGAGCTACATATATACAATTGTGAGGACGTTTTTGGTAAATGCCCTAAGAAAGGGAGGTCAAGAAGCTATCATCAGCTGTTTGATGGCTAGAGCGCATCGTAAATTTTCCTGGCAGTGTTGAGCTTTCTCAGGCAGGCATTATTTAGGGGCCTGGGATCATTCTAGGGACACAGCCTGATGCTGTCAGAAGCCAAACTTGTTTAATCAGGTCTCTGTGCAGGGATTTAGACAGGGTTTTCATGTGCCAAGGGTTCTGCACATTTTCTTCTCTGTCGCTAGGTGCTGTGCATGTGATCCATATGAGAATCTACACAGCACGGTGCTCTTCATGGCAATCTATAGGACAGCTCAGGGAGAACTCAGCTTTTCCAGCCCCCCAACTTTAGGTTGGAAAATCATGGTAACACCCATCAAGACACAACACAGTAGTAGCCAGCAAGCAAGTTGCCAAATTGGTGGTGCCCTCTCTGGCAGTGGCAGCTGTCTGCTGGGGCCAGTTTCTAAGCCCAGGGCACTCTACAGATTGATCATCTCCATGTGGCTTACATCACCTACCTTGTTGGCTGTGCTAACTATTCTAAAAATATACCCTAGACTTGTTTTCAGCAGGTGTAGTAAGGCACACACACCAAACACACAAATGATCACCAGGAAGCAAGACTTTTTTTTCCTTTTTCTTTTTTTTTCTTTTGAGATCCTGTCTTGCTCTTTCACCCAAGCTGGAGTGCGGTGGCATGATTTCAGCTCACTGCAACCTCCACCTCCCGGGTTCAAGCAATTCTCCCTGCCTCAGTCTCCTGAGTAGCTGGGATTACAGGCGCGTACCACCAATCTGGGCTAATTCTTTATTTTTAGTAGAGATGGGGTTTCACCATGCTGGCCAGGCTGGTCTGGAACTCCTTACCTCAGGCGATCCACCCGCCTTGGCCTCCCAAAGTGCTGGGATTACAGGCATGAGACACTGCGCCTGGCCCACAGACATTTAAAATTTTTATTTATTTATTTATTTTTGCAACGTAGTCTCGCTCCATCTCCCAGTCTGGAGTGCAATGGCATGATCTCAGTTCAGTGTAACCTCCGACTGCTAGGTTCAAGCAATTCTCCTGCCTCAGCTTCCTGAGGAGCTGGGACTACAGGTGCGCATTACCATGCCTGGCTAATTTTTTGTGAAACCCCGTAGAGACGTGGTTTCACCATGCTGGCCAGGCTAGTCACAAACTCCTGACCTAATGATCTGCCAGCCTTGGCCTCCCAAAGTGCTGGGATTACAGGCATAAGCCACTGCACCTGGCACATTTTTTATTATATCCACAGTTCCCAAGACACAGGAGGCAGGCATACTACACAGGGCCACACAGGAAAGTGACAAATTGGTGTGAGCAAATGTAGAGAGAGGGGAACTGCTGGCAGCGCCTTTCTTATGAATTTTTCAGCAAAGAGTGGGTGAAACCAAGTAAGCAAGTGGTGCAAATTTAGGATTGGATCGTTTTCATGGTTTCAGCGAATTCTGGGTTATGGGGTGGGTCCCTGGTGGTCTAGTATCTGGCGCTATAGTACATAGGACAGGGGATAGTGTCCCAGACCGTAGAGCTCTGATAAAGGAGATGGCTGGGAGTGGTGGACCGGGGATTGGTTGGTTTGCATAGCAAAGGCATGCTGGCAGGCAAGTTTTATCTTTGGGAATTAGTTAAGCCTGAGATAGGTGGTACCGACGTCGAAAGGCTCTAATTGCATCAAGAATACAGAAAATAAGAACATAGAGTTAATTTGATTGGACTTGTAGTGCTCTAGCATTACAAAATTTTCTGGAGCCCTTTCCATGTCATAATATTTGAACACTACCAATTAGTTTCAAAAAATAGGATCTGTGGAATTCACAGCTTCCTAAATTATTCCTTATAGAGTTACTCTATTTGAATATAAATTGCTTTATTGTTGGAAGTTAACTGGTGAAAATGTCTGTCAGTTGAAATAGAACTGCTCAATAATATAGTTTTCATCTTGATGACTTCATCGTATAAAATGCCGATAGGAATTCTTTCTTTTTTTTTTTTTTTTGAGACGGAGTTTCGCTCTTGTTACCCAGGCTGGAGTGCAATGGTGCGATTTCGGCTCACCGCAACCTCCGCCTCCTGGGTTCAGGCAATTCTCCTGCCTCAGCCTCCTGAGTAGCTGGGATTACAGGCACATGCCACCATGCCCAGCTAATTTTTTGTATTTTTAGAAGAGACGGGGTTTCACCATGTTGACCAGGTTGGTCTCGATCTCTCGACCTTGTGATCCACCCGCCTCGGCCTCCCAAAGTGCTGTGATTACAGGCTTGAGCCACCGCTCCGGGCCAGGATTTTTTTCTTTAAAGTTAAATCTTTAGAGGATATAAGCTTTGGATAATCTTTGACTTAAAGAAACAAGTGTTTGGTTCGTAGCATTTTCAGTCCCAACTATCACCAGATGTTGAAAGCACTGTCTTTGAGAGTTACCGATTGTGTTTCTACCAGCAAGAAAAGAGAAAGGAGAAGAAGAAAACGGGTGAGTAAAAAAGAAAAAGAAGTAGAAAAAAA